AAATATTTTAATAATATAAAAACCAATAATATTAATAATAAAAACTGAGAAAAATCAACGAGTCATCAAGATGTTATCAAAGTTAATATTGAAACATATAAATTTCTAATATTTTCTTGATGATATTGTTACGTCCAGACTCGAAGAAGGATGAGTCAATAGAAGGGCGCAACCACTATCTTTATGATCCCAAAGTCAAACGTCTCGAGACGTTAGAATCGGGTCGAACGAACTTGACGGTCCGAAAATCAGGTAAACGACCGTTCGGGTCGCTATTACACTGTTTTTCGGAAATTCGCTCGGCGGTCCCTTTTTGGTAAGAGAATTTAATCTCTTTTACGCGTTCACCCTAGACCGCTTTTGCGCGGCCTCAAGCCCAATTCATCGATTGTGGTATACGCGGTTACCGGGCCAACCACCCCGGCAACCACGCGTCAAAACAAACGCCCCCCTCCCCTCCCCTTCCATCCCACCCGCGAATCATCGTCCGCGCATCAACTCCGTTCCTTCCACGCAAAGTTTCCTTCGGCGACATAACCTCTCACCCCTTACGCGGCGCCTGCCTGCTCGCAATTAGGTTAGAGACGAGATTGACGTTTTCCGAGCACGGTGAAACATCGAATGACTTTTGAAACGTGCCGTACGTCGTCTTATCTAAACAATCCTGTCGTTACGAATCAATATGCGTCAACAAGAAAGGCGATTAGCGAGGAATTAAAAAAAATATCTCTATTTCAACAATAACGTTCGCTCTATCTCTCTCTTCAAAGGCAGAATACTGGAAGTACTCGTCATGATTTATGCAACAAAAGATAGAATAATGATGTATATGTTAATTTTCTCAGCACGCGTCTCGAACGTAGAATAAATTTATGATACACTATGTAGAATGTATACGCAATAAAGAAATTTTATGAGCAATTGTAACCTGAAAGCAGATAGCTTCTAAGGCTTGTAGGTAAACAGATAAAGGTATACAAGGGCCGGTTGTTCCAACTTTTTGATAGATTTACCCGTCAATCACCCATTAGATAAATATCAATAATTATTGTTTCATCTATTGTAAAGTTTATCTATGGGTTAAATTGTTATTATCAAAAGATAATTTTACTCTTCCAACCATTGTATTAAGATCTCTATTTACATTGATATTTGGGTAATAATGGGTGATTGATGGATAAATCTACCAAGAAGTTGGTACAACCGGCTCTAAATGAGGTGTTTAGATAAGTCCATAAACTTACCGTTAAGGGACCAAATGTGCGAAGGCAAGCTATGAGCGGCGTAAACGCGACCACTCTCCTCATCCGTGTCGTCGGAATCCGGGATCAGTTGCGGCAGGCCAAGGGGTCCAACTCCAACCCCTGCGACACCAACCCCTACCGAGGTAGAGAGACCGGCCTGCTCAGAGGAGGAGAGATCAGGAACGGAACTCAAAGAGCGTGCACGCTGTCTACTATCCCCGGACACACGTGTGTTCTGCGACTGATTAGCCTGCTGATGCTGATGCTGCAGCATGCCCACACCACCAGGCAGGGAACGGAGCATGGAGAAACCCTGCATTGTGGTCTCATTGGCCCCAGTGGAGGATTGACCGTTGCCACCAGCGGATTGTGCTACGGTGCTTGCCTTGGCTCCCATTCCAGCTGAGATTTCAAACTATCACCACGTGTCCCCTTGCAATTCTCCTCTCTCTCTCTCTCTTTTTTTCTTTGTCTGTCTGTCTCTCTCTCTCTCTCTCTCTGTCTATATTTATCTATGTATCTATCTCCTCGGCAAATAATTCAACAATCACTTGCTTAGTTTACAAGAAAAAAATAAAAAGTGTGAGATCCGGGTACCTCAGGTCCTGGCAGTGGTACGCACACACATACACTGGCACAGTCCTCGCGCCTCCGTTTTGGCTCCCGTCTCCACTGTTCTTTCCGTTTCGGCGTCGACGGCGACAGACGACTGGAGGACGTGGCTCGATCCTACCGGCGGCGTGATGCTTACAACACTTTGGGATTTAATTTAGGCCGGAATTTAGCAGACGTGCGCCACGACAAGCAAGTCATTTCGTCGTCCGCGAGCATACCAGCGGCTCGTCGCACAAAACATCCCCCGACATCTTACGATAAACTTCCTAGATGTCAACGCGATCGCGCAGATATTCCACTTCACGGTTTTCCGCATGGATTAAAAACTAATCAGACTGACTGCGAGGCGTCTGTTCGGACGAGGTTCGGCGTGCATTTATTTGATTGGCTACGCCATGTTATTTAAATTCAGATGTTTGGAATAAAGTTGTTTCGACATAAACTGTCATTTATATACAGGGTGATTCTAAATAAGTGCGAAAAATTTTAGGATATAATTCTTTGTCGAAAATTAAGGGGGGTCTTTCATATAAACATATATTCCTATATCCCTCCCTGAAGAATTACACTCTCCTAAAGGGGGAGATGAAAATTAGATTTTTATTTTTTTTCTCAAATTTTGAACAAGTTAAGAAAATGAAATTTGGTGGACATTTTCCACTAGTAAAAAGGATACTTATTAATATTTTTTTTAATCCTCCCGTATCGTTGTAAGGGGATGAAACTAGCAACCCCTATTCAATTTTTTATTAGAACTTTTTAACGAACCGGAATGTGATCATCTAAAAATATGTGTTAGAAAGCTTGATTTCTTTAGAAACTTTTTTATTTCTTTAATTTTTTTCGTAAAATCAATATTTTTCAAGAAAAAAAAAGATACATCATCATACACAGCACAGTACTAAATGACATAGGTTTCGAGTTATGAGAAGTTAAACTTTAGAATAAAAAAAGTAAACAAAACAAAATTATAGAATAGTTAAGAAAAATGGAACAAGAACAATATAAAATTATAATAAATGTTGAAAATGACCATCTCCCAATCATGATACAAGAGTCTACCCTCCGTCTCATTGATTGGCATATATGTTCAAATATCCCAGGTGTGTTTTTAATTGTTTCACATGATGCGACAATGCGATTTCTTAAATCTTCCATATTTTTAATAGGGATGGTATAAACCAAGGAAATAAAAACTTCATTTTCACCTCTCTCTTTGGAAGAGTGTAACTCTTCAGGGAGGAATATAGGAGTATATGTTTATATAAAAGAGCCCCCTTAATTTTTTCGACAAAGAATCATCTCCTAAAATTTTTCATACTTATTTAGAATTACCCTGTATATGAGTATTATCTATACCTTAAGAATCTGATAGTTTGTTCAATTATATAAGTACATACATACATGTAAGAATAAATCTTAAGAATTATCAAGGTAACTAAAGTTATTTTTTTGTTTTAAATATATACAATACACATTATTGCAATTATTATCATCAAAGAAGGCATTCTAAAACTGTTTTGTTCGATATATCTTGAGATATAAAACAAAAAGAATGACACCCATCTCTTATCAATATAATTCCTTTAATGTGTGAAAATATTAGACAGAGTTATTAATTATACATACCAAAAAAGTTTATGTACATATGTATATATATGTATACATATTATATATATATGTATATATATACATATACATTTTTTCTTATAAATATGAACTATATGTACACAGTTTAGTCGATATAAAAATATCTAAAGACGTTTTGTAATCTTTATACACACATACAAGTTTCAAAACGGCGAAAATGGCACGTAGTTGATAGAATAATTAATCAATAGTTTTGACATAGATTACGAGTATCAGCCTTTAAATCAGGGCTCAGAGAGCTCCAATGCGTATCGATACACTTTTGTAGTTTCAATTCGGTCCCAACCTCGCCGGCGTCACATATTTCGTCGATTTTGTAATGTTCATATACCAATCTATCTAACCAATCATCGAGGTCTTGATCGATTCTATTTTGACTGTGCGTAATAATCTGCTCATTCGCCATTGCAGATTTCATTAATTTGGACCAATTTTTGTTCATTTCCTCTGTAATGTGATAAATGGTGTTCGGGCCGTCTATTATTTCCTTGAGTCTTTCCGAATCTATCTTTTTGGCCCTCCAATAGGACAATGGAATTACCAAAAATTTCAATTTTATCATCAGTTGAGAATCAACAATTAACAATAGTCGCCAGGTACCAATGGCTAATTGTTCATTCAGCTGTGGTTTAAGGTGTCCTACCTAAAAAGATACGTAATAAAGTTACACATAAGATTATACTATAAGATTGAAGTAGAAAAAAATAATAAAGTTTTAATTGTAAAAAATAATGTTATAATTACCAAAGTCATCTCCTCAAGCAAAATATGATTCACATCAGCAAGGTGTCCATATGGATCAATCCACAAAACTGATATATTTTGCGGTACTGTAATACTTGCATCGAATTCGTAAGCTAACACCGGATTCGAATATGGTCCTATGCTGCCCATTAAATTTCTAAACTTTTGTTCCTTTTGATCATAATCCGTACCAACGGAAAGACTCCGTATCTTTCCCGACCATAATCCTGACCCTAATCTGCCAGGAGGAAAGTTATGTCGCACAGAAATTAAAGCTTCCACGCGTCTCACGCGATTATTACGTATCGCAGATACGTCGAAAGATTCATCTTTACATTCCGCAAAGATTAATACACCGGTGAACCGATTTTCGCGAAAGTACGCGGTGTTTTCCAATAAGTGAACATTTTTATGATCCATCTTCAATTTACGGTAAGTTAGTCTTGCCAAAGAATACGAAAGCGTTAGTAACGCATCATCTGGTAGCGGACTCAGATCCGCGTGATGATACAGACTTTGCCAGTACATGTCGTAACCCTTGATCGTTCTATTCATTCTATCGGGATACAGCCATTCTTCTACGCGGTCGATAATTCTGTGATCGATGACGGGTTCGAATTTACGGGCAAAGAATATATTACGATTCTCCGTATTTTGTAATCGACTATAATCCTCGAGTTTAAAATCGTTTGGACTGCATCCACACCAATCCACCACCGCTTTATACTGGCACTTGCAACCCAACTTCCTTTTCCAATTAGTCATATGCAGATTATTGTCTATATAAGTATTGCAAAATCGCGAGTTTCTCAAGACAATATGTAAAAATGATTCGGCTGGCAACAGGGTGTACTTGAACAGTTTTAACAAATCATTTACCAACGAATCGGGATTCGGATTCGCGACGTACTCGACAAAATCCCGACTTAAAGCGAACCAATCGCTACCACCGTCAATTTGAATACCTATAAAAATAGTAAAATTAATGTATATATGATATACACAATTTTATAAATAAAAAAATTCTTTACTATGTGTATAAAAAAATTAAAAAACTGCTTATATGTATATATATAAAATCACATACCATCTGGCAATTTTCGATCGCCGACTCGCCACATGCGCGCCTCACATTCGACGAAAGTCTTATCCAGACCTTGTTTCGATATAAAACGTTGAACTTCTCTTCCATGTGACTTTGCAAAGTTCATATTCTTATTCCAACTTAGAAATTCGGTCAATTGACTGTTGTTTTTCAGAGGGAAATCAGATTCCGAAAGATTTACAAGAAAATCCCAATGCTGCTGATGTGCCAGCATCTGTTGCGCGGACTTCAAAAATGTCGTCAAAAGACTTGCGCCACCCCAAATACTCGCGTGTCGCAAACCCTCTCCTTTCGCCACTTTGATATTGTTTAATTTACATGATCTTTCCAGTTCTAACATTTCTCGGTATAAATAATCTTGCCTCTGAAAATATATGACTTGATATATTATTCTAATTTATTTATCAGATTCAATATCAATTATCTGTTAATTTTGTATTATATCCAATATATAATAAAGAAATAATCTATAAAAATCATTAAGGATCTCTATAAATCTAAAAATTAAATTCAAATAAAAATATATTAATATATAAAATTAAAAACTAATTAAAAAATGTATGTCTTTTCATGATGTAACTATATGCCTGAAGTTTGTATAAATTCATCAAATTAATGTAAAAAAGATAAATATATATATATATATATATATAACTCTATTTTTTTATATATCTAAATACATAAATAAATAGAATTTGTTGCACTACTTACCGCATCAACATGAATATAGAATAAGTGCGAGGGATGATACAAAACATTAATAAGTCGTTTCACTTGCCTACTCGCCCTGCCATTCACTGTCAGCAGATAGGCTATTCGCACAGGTTGCTCAGGTTCATTTCTTAAACTCGAGTTTCTCGCCTCTTGAGGTTTAAATTCTGCCAAGTCAGAAAAAGATTCCATTTATGTGTGTAAAGGTATTTATGCATATTTTTGTGCATTTACATACTTCGAATTCCAGTCCAATATACATTAATAGTTAAATAGCCACCGCACGTCTGTCTTGGATTGCCGGAACATTTCATATTACAGCTAGAGTCTGGTAACCGTTTCGTCTGCAATGGTTCTTCCATTCCACAAAAACACTCAATTCTAAAATTATACAATTTTATGATGTATTTTAAAAAGTTTACACAATGTATCAATATATATGCTGTAAATTTTCAAGGACACTAACGAGTATTCTGTACCGGCGTATGGAAATCCCGATTGAAGACACATATAAGCGCAATGCTCCGGCGTATTGTTCCCTTTGAAGATGTGATAATAACCAGAAAGCACTCTCAATGTCTTATCATCTTTGTAGCAGCCCAAGTTCTTCGGCATGCCTGTAAAACCTGGAGAGTGAGGACATAAAGATTGTACTCTTTCCGGGTACAATACACCCTGCTGGCTAAGGCACGTCACATTGACAATGCGTTGTTTGCATGCTTGATTCTGAGCACGCGTTATGGCACTCACTGCTTCTCTGGTCATAACTTCGCACATAGGTGTAAAATTTAAGGATTTACGATCTAACTTAATTCGGGCAGTGCGATTTCTTAGTTGAGATTGCAATGTTTGTTTGTTCAAATTTATCTGCTTGTCGGGTGGAAGTTTTAGTTGACGTAAGCCTTTCGGCAAGCCTTCATCTTCCTCAGGTTGGGAAGAGCCACCCTGCAATTTAACAAGAAAATATCAATTAATGATATAAATTAATAAATTTTTCATTATTATTGCATATATACGTTTTCTTGCAAGACAAAGGTTAGATAAGAATTACCTCCCCAGATGACAGCCGGTTGGATTTGTTTTTACCATTGTCCAGACCGAAAAATGTGTGTAGGTAGATCTGGACACACAATACGGTTATGCCGAAGGCGAAGAGCAGCCGATACTTTCGCAAACAGCTCGACGATCGGCCGCCCGGGTGGCTTTTGGTAGTCGCCATGTTCCGCGAATTTCACTCGCAATTACCGTATCAATTACAATGTACGACCCAAGAAGTCGGGTCCATCGAAGCTAACCATCTCATTACGACGATAGCTTCATTTACATCGGTCCGCATCCCGTCCTCAGCGAAGAACCGAATCCGTTTCTTCACTCATGCGCTTCATATCGCATTCCATCGCACGCATTTTGCAATTCGCAAGCACCGTGATGTGACAGCATCCCCTGAAAGATCGTGAAGGTTAGATTACGCGAAGGTTAGGCTGGGCTCGCGCGTCATGGCGCGTGCCTGAGCTGCATCAATTCGACGATGGTCGCATAGAGGTTATGGTCGCGTATCTTGAATAACGCAGTAAACAACTTTAGTCACGCGTTTTTATCACCTATGCGGTCATCCACAAGGAACGCCCATGGGAGCCGAGCGCTGTGAGGTGATCTATTCCGAGTTGACCTGGGTGAAAGAAGTGACGTAGAGGAAACGCGCGTTTTTGGCGGATAAATTGACGTTTATTCGAGAGTCAAATGCCACGCCAAAAAATGGCAAATACCGCGGTCACGCACAAGGCCAAAGAGGAGGATATCCTCGAGTGTTTCCTTTATCCCAAATTCTGCTACGCATCTGACCCAGACGCGGTAACGGAGGCGAAATTGAGTGAAGAAATCGCTAAGTACAATGAAGAGATCGCCCCGTTCATCGTCGATCATATCTGGCATGGTGATAGCTTAAATTTCCGTCCTAGAACCAAACAGGCGATGTTACTGAATAGAATTCTCGAAGGATCAGCGGTGGAGGAAGGTAATTATTTCATCTCCGCCATTTTTTTTTCTTCCTTTGTTTATTTTTAGAAAAATCACTAATCAATTATAATAATCGATCATTTCTCATTAGATTACCATACCTTGCCTCATATATATGCGAATCTACGTTTCGACGAGGATATAGGCGACGAATGGCTGACAGTATTCCTAATATTTAGGCTTACCAAAGTTTTCGATGGATTGATCGCTAGAGTAGTTGATTCGGATGGAGAATTTCTTCTGATAGAAGCTGCTAATGTGCTGCCGCTGTGGGCCAGCCCTGAGACGTGTCAGGATCGTGTGTTCATTCACAATGGCGATATTCATGTTATCAGAGAGAGGGGAACGTCGTTTCCTAATTTGCTAAATAATATACATGGCAAGCCCCATATCTCCAAGATGTCTGAAAAGGTGCAACTTGTGTTGCAAAAGCGAATCGGCATTTATCCCGATGAGATTCAGAAGAGGAAACATAAGGCCAGGGCATTTCTGCCGGAAAAAGCAGCCTCCATACTTCGCCTAGAACCAAGACTCATAGCTCCAGTGATTAGAACTATTTGTCATTCGGATCCACTCGAACGCAAGGTATATACAAATGTTATAAAAGTTATTTAATATAATCGACTTTATATATTACATATATATATATTTCTATCTTATATTCTAGGTTTGTCGCGCCATGAGATATTTCCCACCTGAACAACGAACTATGGTCAATGTCAGAATGACCAAGTGTTTGTACGCGATGGCGACGCACTGTCGTTATACCGGTGATCCAAGAACAGGTTGGAACATACCACCTGCAACTTGCTCAAAATACAATGCTCATGTTCTCGGAGTTAAGATAGCATGCGGTTTAGAGATGCTAGTAGCTCGGGCCAATGAGGAACGTAGAAAACGTACCAAGGAACAGTCGGACGTTCCCGATGATGCAGAAAAATTAAAGCTGAATGAACCAGCTTTCAATGCTTACCTAGCACGTTTAGAAGCGAACGGTTACTTTAGAGATCTGTTGGAAGGTAGCCAGGAACGTGAGAAACTGTTGTCTACAGCAAAAGAGTATTTCTTGAAGCATGCGACTTTATTTGATAATATCTCAGATTTGTATGAAAGCGATGCTCAAAAAGTTTTAGAAGCATGGGAGAACATTCAAACAAATGACATTGAAATGCATGGTAATTTGTTGTTTATTACTTTAAATTTATATTTTAAATTGCGATCTCTTATAAAGTAGCATAGTAATTTCTCGATTACGTTAAATCGTGTACTTGTTGCTACATTTAAATTTTATTTTATATCATATTTATATTTTATTTTTACACAGCTCAAGATGAAACTATGCTGAGTCCTGTGGATAGTGATAGTTGGCTGAACGTGGACCCGGCGCAATTAGAAATATACTTGAACAAACAGTGGGGCAATTTTAAGGATAAAAAATTGGATCAAGAATCTTTAAGTCTCCGAGAGAAGGTGCAATCATTCCTCAATCAAACCAGCGACATCGATGGCGTGCATTTCTTAGGGTATAACATCTATATATTTCAGGAATAGATATAATTTTGAAAAACAAATCCATGTTTTACTCGTAATTTAAGTCGAAAATAGACAATTGTGGATTTTAATTCTAGAGAACAATCGATGGACAATGACATGCAAGATGCGGAGGATGGTGGGCGAATAGACTTCGACGCGGACGTATTTGATAATACATTGAGAGGCATCCTCGATTTAGTTGTTCCGGGAGGAGAGGGAGAGTTCGAAGGTAGCTCGGAAGGATCGCTAGGCGGTGACGACGAGGACAAAGGCGGCGATATGGATAAATACATGCGACTGTTGGACTCGCAACTGCAATCGCAGATGGTAAAAGATGAGAGTACGGTAGCGAATGACGACAATAACAGCGCGGATCCCGTAGAGGCAAATTTGCGAGAAAGTATTGAAGCCGAGGCCGGTGGTTCCGGTCCAACCGGGAACATAATCGGTGGTCCTGTTCGAAGGCTCATGCACTTGCAGTTGCAATCGCCCACGACGGTACCACCCGACTTACAAAGTTAATGGCACCTCGACGAGTAGACGATTAATATAGTCGATTCACATTAACGATCGCAGACATTATTGCAATTTTTCGCTTCATTCTGCAAAATACATAAGCATTCACCATTTCAAGGAAAAAAAAAGAAAAGAGATATTTCATAGACTAAAGTCTTGTTACGCTATATCTAAAAACTATTATATTTATTACTTAAAATATATATACTTAATGTTATATCGATCAAAGCACCTTTATCACACAGTTAATACCATTGCTGCATATTTCACGATTGTACTTTTCATCACTCGACTCTCTATTAACACCATTTTTCATACAAATTATATATATGTACACAGATATATAAAATGTTATTACTGCGGCCATAGAATTAGATTGTAAGAACTTTACTATTTGTATATGTAGCATTTTGTTTTCACTTTTATAACTAATTTTACTAAAGATTGGACTCTCTTATGTGTACAGCTTTGTACATTTCAATTGGAATAATGAGATACATGTTGGACATTTCTTGTGTACAGATTTATATATTTTAGACTTGCTGTAAGAACGAAACATGTATGTGTACACATACATGCCCACTGCGCGTACAACGATAATTTCCATAAAAGTCTCGTATAGAATATTGTTTAAATTACAATGAGGAACCATCTCTCTCTCGGTGCTATTAGCAAAGTAATTATTTGAAACCTGCCTATTTGAACCATTTTGGTGTCTTGTTTTGATTTCGAGCTGATGATGATGACGGTGACGATGACGATTTACCACTACCACTTGGTCCCGGAGTAACACGATTGCTTCTGCTCTCGACAACTGTGCCTCTATCTTCTCCAGTCGCTGGATCTTGTTCTTTTCGCGTCATGGTGGTTCTATATAGATAAATATAAAATTTAGTGACAATCAACATTGATAGAATCAGTATACTTTACCTAGATCTGATGGCTTCGATGCCAGCAGCTCTAGGATCTGTCAATTTTGCTTTTACACTCGAGCTGAGTGACGACTGCCCAGAATAATAAACGATAGCAGAGGGAACAAGATTTTCATCTACTAATCGCGCATCAGGATTTAGAATATGCTTTGGCGGGCTAGTATCTACAAAAAATAATAAAATTTTACTACAATAAAATTATTATATACTTACTCCATTCATATAGAATAAATATGATAATTGCATGTTTTATTACTCACAGATAACGAATTCGCAATTCGGATCATCCAAATAATTCTTAATAAAGTTCTTAACAGTTGCAATAGTCTCCAACGGCCCGAACAAGCCCTGAAGGACAAATTGATCAGGGAACTGTACGCGAATTACGGTACGTCGATACTTGTGCAATCGGTCCAGAGTGCGCTTGTCTTGTTCTAGTTGACGCTGCGCCTCTGTCAGAAGCGGAGCGTCCTCGAGTTGTTCCTTGCGACGCTTAGCATCTCGCAAAAGAGTCTTCGCGTCGTGCAGATCGAGTTCGAAGAAGTTATCCGGCAGTTCGTCCCTTGGCAATGCCTGTGTCCCAGCTTGATTGAACACTAGAGCGTTTCTCTCCCCTAACTATAACATAAAATTATTAATAAGTAAACATGTCACTTGAATGAGATTGCACGTTTGCACAATTACACCTTACAAACTTCACTTCGTATACATCTTCCTGGACTTTTGTGTCCACCTCTGTATTGTACTGATCTCTTCCATTCTTATGATCTTTATGAGTGGATGCAGAGGCATGACTTTCTCCTATCATATAAATATTCCTTTCTTGTTCTTTATCATTCAACACATCTACTTTCTCATCTTTTTTGTCTATTTTCATCTCAGATTTTTGATTTTCCACATTTGATACATTTATTGATTCACCATCATCCAGTGTTTTACTACAGTGCGGTGCACATGATAGCACTCTTTGGGGACAATCTTTATTGCTTGATGAATTATCCACTGCCACCGCTGACTTTGGAAGTAAAGGAGTAGATACATGTGCTTGAGTTTTTAATTGTTCGGGATCACGATATATCAATCGTAATATTGCCTTTCCACTATTGAGGCCTAGTGACTTCAATGTTGTCTTTTCTAATGCTTCTCTCCCATATACCTATGTGGAAAAACTTTGGTTAGATACGTTTTTATTTCTCTTCTTACACATGCTCGCGGTATAATTTAATAGTAGATTATAAAACATCAGTATTTTTTTCAATGGTTATGTAAATACATACTTCTCGATGCATGTAGATTAATACAGCTCTCTCAAGGTCCGAATCGGGATATATTTCTAACAATGCTTGAGCTAACGTTGTTTTAGGTGGAAATTCGCGCATTATTCTCTCTCCATTCTCTGACTGAATACCAATCGTAACATTCGACGCGGTACGCGTTTTTGTACAGGCTACCATTTCCAACTGAGCGTTATTTGGCAAACCAGTAAATCGAAATATCGTATTAGGATCTAGTATCTGACGATTGTGTCTGTGATAGGGATATGTACTTAATACAATATAATTATATCACATTATTGCAAAAATCTAAATGTAAAGTGTCATACTCACTTTATGTCATAGTCATCGACGTTGAAACCCTGCTTCTGGCATACTTCCTCCAGAACCTGCAAAGAGAACCTTCGTATGAAGATTTTTTCGAGACAACACTATCCTTATTTAGCGAATGCAAACGTCATAATCCGTTGATAAATAGTAATATCGAGTCGATAGATTTATGTACCTGCAAGATCGTTGTGTTCATCGTAACCTTCACATTTTGCCGGCGACCATTCGGCGCAAGGACAGTGACAGCTTTGTTTGCCGCCATGGTGATTATTAAAACTTTAAAACGGTTCTATATATAAGCGGCCATCAACAGCTGATTCAAAGCAACGTCGATCGCGCAGACGTTTCATATGTCTCTTCCGCGGGGGGGATTAAAGTCCCACGGGTTGTGTTCGAAAATCTACTCGTCGGAGTAAAGCACCGTTCGATTGACCAATCAGAATAAAAGGAGCAAAGATATCTTTGCTCCGATTGATCAATCAAATATCATTCTATTTCGACGAGTAGATTTTCGAACGCCATCATGAAAATCGATAAATCTACGAAAAACAAGATTTGTGTTGACCCAGATAGCACAGGTGATCGTTATGAATACAAAAAGGATTCACTTTTTGAAATTCTTTATGAATTAGTATAATCTATTCCAAATGAATTCAAAAGATCTTTCTTCCGGTAATCCAAAAAGAATTCCATAAAATTATATTTTCTGACTTCTCATGGAATTAAATTGAAGTTGTTCCAAAGGAAGTCCTTTTTCTGTTTATAATGGGTTCAACAAGAACTCATTTTTGCTTTGGTAAATTACTACAACGTAATGCGCATGCGCAATCTAGAAGTTTCCGAGGCAGCATCGCGGCGTATTATTCATTCCCGACTACAGGGGTGCGTTCCGTATTAACGTCCGGACGACAACTTTTTATCCAAAACCGTTCCGTTTACCAAGGTGTAACGTCATAACTGCGTTCCGTTTTCACAATTTCCGAACGTTCGGGCGACAACTTTTCGTCGTGCTCAGGACTCCGATGAAAAACGTCACGCATGCGCAAAACGGCGTGATGTAATAAAGCGACGGTCAAATATATGTAGATTTGCGTTGTAGGTTATATTTATGTTTATATTCTATCAATTTTGTGTTTTAATATAAATTAATATAAAGAATATATTATGTTTGAAGTTTTATATCTAAGTTTAATGTTACTTACATGTAGATAAAACCTGGTAATGGATAATTTAAAGGCAGCTAGTTTAATTGTGATCAATTATTTAAGTAAATTAATATTCTTTAATATAAAATATAATCACAAAACATAAATAAAATGTTATGTATGCGCAAGCGCAAAATCGTCCAAGAATCGTTCCGTTTCACGAGACAATCTCGGTGTGTGACGTTATACCTCGTCTGGACGAACATTCCGGTATACGGAACGCACCCCTGCTAACCGCAGATTAGGTTATCCTTGGTTTGTCTTCCCGTCACTTCGTTCCAGGACAGAATAAGGAGATCACGGATTTTTAAGGTAAAACATATTTTGTCAATTCTGATAAATTAATTTTCTAATAGTAGGCTAACATTATTTGTTGTTGTTTTGCTATTTGGGTTATTGCAAATACAACTTAACCTCGTCACCGCACGTGGTGATTAAATCTTATGTTTTATTAATAAACTACTTTTTGTGTATTACAATTTTTAACTCTTTAAAATATTTAAAATTATAATGATAGGAATATGCCGAACCAAAAAAGATACGACAATCTATCAAAACGGCAGATTTATCGTCGACTCGCTGTTCAATCAAAAGCAGATCTACATGATCTTCATGATTCATCTTTAGAGTTTACAAACGAACCAGAATCTGCAGATGATATTTGTTATATTAGGCAGGAGCTACCTAAAGGAAAGAATAACCTTATTTGTTGTTGTTTTGCTATTTGGGTTATTGCAAATACAACTTAACTTCATCACCGCACGTGGTGATTAAATCTTATGTTTTATTAATAAACTACTTTTTGTGTATTACAATTTTTAACTCTTTAAAATATTTAAAATTATAATGATAGGAATATGCCGAACCAAAAAAGATACGACAATCTATCAAAACGGCAGATTTATCGTCGACTCGCTGTTCAATCAAAAGCAGATCTACATGATCTTCATGATTCATCTTTAGAGTTTACAAACGAACCAGAATCTGCAGATGATATTTGTTATATTAGGCAGGAGCTACCTAAAGGAAAGAATAACCTTCATGTCAGAATTGACGATGAATCTGAACCATATTATTAATTTGTTGAAAGATCGTTGCACAGAAATGCTGGTAGATGAAGCGGAAAATCTTTTGCCGAACTTCCCTTTAAGAACTGTTCAAAAGTTCGAACAATTTCAAGAAAATCTTGTCACATCCTTGGAAATACAAAAACTATATGTAAGCAGATTATTTATCATACTTTTATTTACCATGCGCAAATTGTAATGATCTATTTGCCTCTATTTTCATAGATTCGCGAAATAAAAATGGTCGGAGGATCTGATCCAGGCAAATTCACCAGAGCTACATTGCACTTTTTAATATCAAATGAGCTAGCATTGCAGTATTCCTGGTCTGGCCAAAAAAACACGCGGAAATTTCGAGATACCCTAATTTCCCAACTCATTGTCGGTGAGTTTATAGTCAATATTTAATTTTTCTGATTTTTAACCAAATATTAATGTTAAATTTTTTAAAAAAATATCTATATATCTAATTACAAAATTTTCTATTACAGAAACCATTTCGAAAATAAAGAATGTTCCTAAGAGCGATATCGAGACAATTATAAAGAAGTGGTTGCAACACGCTAGTGACCGATTAAAGAATCGAAAATAGATTATTTTATGACGGTATGATTATCTTAATGACGGTATGATAGCATTAAACAAAATTGTTTTTTTTCATAGTTTATTAATTTATTGGGAGTATTGCTGATCTTGGTTTTACAATTATAGCCGCGTTAGTTACGCTCTGTCGACGTTTCATAAATAGTGTAGTATGCAACCCAAAAACCAAGAGTAACAATACTCCTAATACATTTATATTTCATATAAATTTATTATATTTTATTTTTCTAACGACAAAATATTCCTTTATATAACACGGGTGCATGTGGAATTGACATTTTAAAATATCTTATTAAAGAAACACGTACAATTGTCCGTCAGTTGTCTTTCAAATTTATAAAGTGTTATAATGTTTCATACTTTTTGGTATAGATTCAAAATTGATATAGATTCTAAATTGGAATATTTTCAAGATTATTTTGAATAAGTGTCATTTAGCATTTTTATATGTATATTGTGTTGTTTCAACCAAATGATCTCCTTACATTTGAACTTTCAAAGACTTATCGACGAGATTTTGTTATAATTTTATTTTTTTTTATATCCTTAGTTTTCAGTTTAAGGAGACCTTTGGCATAAGATTTTCCTCTTGATCTGCTTCTAAACATTTTGGTTGTTACATTGGCGACATTTTTGTAACATCTCCGCAATAAATAGTTTCTATTTCAGAAACCTTTCAAAGTAACATTTTATTTATAAATTGTTTCTTGCACATTCATGCAATATATTTGAGTAGTTGGGCTTATGTTGCACAAGCATAACACAAGTGAAATACATGATAACAAGCGATAACAACCAGAATTTTTAGTAGATCGTATTCTTTGCCACGTTCTTTAATAATTATGTTAATAAAAATTGTTAATAAAAGTTGTGATAATAAGTTGTGATATAGTCCACATATATTAATAGTAAAGAATATATTTAAGTATAATTAAAAATAATTTTATTTTTGAGACGTTTGGTGCTATACTTGTTATTTTTTATATGAAAACATTAACTATAAGTATTGACAATAAATTCAATATTAGAGTCCCAGATATAAGAAAAGCGCGATTAGTGTTACGGCTACTAATTGGCTTTGTCATGTTCCTGAAAAACAAAATATAGTTATCTATTGTTAACGTTTAGCTACTCGTAAAGAATATGTTATTATTTCAAAAACTTATGTAAGATAAGTATGTAGTCCCATGAAAGAGATATCTGCGATAAAGAGAAAATTACCAAACCAATTAGTAGCCATTCTAATCAATATTAATAATTTGTATGTTGTTATGACATACAAAAGTATATATGTATTATACGTATTATTTAATCTGTGATATTGAAACCAAAGTGATTTGGTGACTGTTTGGATGACTGTTTGGATTCTCTGTGCTATCTGAGATAATATTTAATTTTATAATTTGTTATATTATATTTCATTATACATATTACGAATTGTTATATTATATAGAATCTATAAATCTGTGATCACACTCCCCAGATAGCACAGAGAATCCAAACAGAATTCTTTTTGAATTCCCGATTTATGAAATGAATTCTTTTTCCATCTCATTTCTGTTCTAAAAACATTCTTAAGAGTTCAAAAAGAATTCGCTTTTATGTCACCAGTTCTGAGCCCTTTTTCGTATATAAAAGGAATTGTTTTTGTACTTTATAAGAATTTGCAATGTAAATTTGAAATGGTTCTTAAATGGTATTCTAAAAGAGTTCCCCATTACAGGTCATTTTATGTTCTTTTTGAATTTAAAAACTGTTCTCTCTCTCTCTCTCTCTCGGATAGGTTATAAAGGATTCATATTTAGATTTTTATTGTTTAAATATTATTTTTATTAAAAGTGTGTAATATATGTATAGATTTGTACATACTTTTTTTTTGGTTTCAATCACTTTGGTTTCAATCACAGATTAAATAATACGTATAATACATATACTTTTGTATGTCATAACAATTAATGTACAAATTATTAATATTGATTAGAGTGGCTACTAATTGGCTTGGTAATTTTCTCTTTATCGCAGATATCTCTTTCATGGGACTACATACTTATCTTACATAAGTTTTTGAAATAATAACATATTCTTTACGAGTAGCTAAACGTTAACAATAGATAACTATTTCGTTTTTTAGGAAAATGACAAAGCCAATTAGTTGCCGTAACACTAACCGCACTTTTCTTATATCTGGGACTTTAATTTGACTTAATTGTCAATACTTATAGTTAATGTTTTTATGTAAAAAATAACAAGTATAGCACCACACACACACACACACACACACAAACGTCTCAAAAATAAAATTATTTTTAATTATACTTAAGTATACTCTTTACTATTAATATATGTGAACTATATCACAACTTATTATCACGACTTTTATTAACAACTTTTATTAACATAACTATTAAAGATGGTAAATCTAAAAGTTGATTATAAAAATTTCAAAAGTCTGATTGTGATTTCGCAAAATATTTAATATGATCCGGAATGTATCATAATTTGAATAACATCGGATGAAGAGTTCTCAAAGAGTTCTCAAGCGTTCTAATTTTTCTGAAGAATATAAAAAGTTTTTAAACAATATGATAATCTTTTATATAAGAAATTTTTATGTACTTGAAGATTTTGGATATATTGAAAACTTGAACGGAAAATTATCTATAAGTAAAATGGTTTTGTTCCTTATAAAATTTACTGTCATAAAAATTAAATGCGTGGCCCATTAATGAGTATAATTAAATATTAATAAAAATATAAAATTCCAGATTTCTAACACCGATATCGTTATCGAGAAAGGTACGCCGATATACATCTCTTTATACGGACTTGGGACAGATCCCAGGTTCTGGGATGAACCCGAAGTATACAACCCCGATAGATTCACCGAAAATAATCATATCACTGACGCCTACATGCCGTTCGGAATTGGTCCCAGGATGTGCGTAGGTAGGTATGATAATGTAGAGTATTAGTAGTTTATTCTAAAAATATACACTTTCTTGCAAAAAATCTCTCTCTCTCAAAAATAATATACAAAGAAATTTAAAAAAATATTTTAATAATATAAAAACCAATAATATTAATAATAAAAACTGAGAAAAATCAACGAGTCATCAAGATGTTATCAAAGTTAATATTGAAACATATAAATTTCTAATATTTTCTTGATGATATTGTTACGTCCAGACTCGAAGAAGGATGAGTCAATAGAAGGGCGCAACCACTATCTTTATGATCCCAAAGTCAAACGTCTCGAGACGTTAGAATCGGGTCGAACGAACTTGACGGTCCGAAAATCAGGTAAACGACCGTTCGGGTCGCTATTACACTGTTTTTCGGAAATTCGCTCGGCGGTCCCTTTTTGGTAAGAGAATTTAATCTCTTTTACGCGGGATGGGACCAAGTGCGATCTTTCGACTA